GACACCAAGTATATATACCTGCCAATATTAAAAAGGAACCTTATATACACTCACCAAAAACAGAAATATAAACCCTACTTCATATTATCGATGGTTTCTAAATCACAAATCAGCCGATATCAAAATTTTTTGGTGTATCCCAAATTTTAGGGCAAAAGGAGGAGGCTTCTGCTCCCAAAAGCACCAATTACGAAAAAGAATCATCGTCTGCATCCCTTCGGCCCTAAGCCGGCGGGAGGCTTTTTTGAAAGGGGATCTCGAAAAGATTGAAACTCCCCAAAGTGGCAATCCACCTCCTCCTACGCTACCTCCTCCTCCTCCTCAGATTCTTCACCATCTTCTTCCGTTCACCTTGAACAACTCTGCCATCATGGGCAATGCGATAAATACGTGCGCAACATTTCTCCATGCGTGGCCAATCATCCCCGTCATCGGAGTTGTTTGCCGAAGACCAAGCCCGCCCCATGCTTTGAAGGAGAAACGTCTGTGAGGACATAACGCTCGGCACCAGAATCCTGCGGGCCATTGGTCGAATGTGAGGCCCTCGCGTGCACTAGGCAGACTCGGACTTTCCGTCACCGACTTCTTGGCCGAAGCGCTTCCGGCAAGCCTCCATGCATGTTAGCCAGAAGCGGTCTCCCGGTTGGAGTCGTGCCTGTTTGAGCGCCTCATCAATGGTTCCGACTCTCGGGGGCCTATCCACGCGCTGATGCACTTGCCGATCTCGAGCTCTGTCTCCTTCCGAGGGTTCCGGATGCAGGCAGGTTGACTCATGCGGCTTTACAAGCTACTCGACAAAGCCGTGATGCTGCCTAAAGGTAACGATGGCACTGCTTCAGTCGAAACAATACTGACCTCAAATTTGCATGTTAAGCCTTGCCTTGCGCTCAAGACCCACGAAGCGGTTTCGGGTTCCGGGTTCAATGCTTGAGCTCCGACCTCAACAATCCCAACAGGGAAAACTGGAAAACAAAAGCAACCATCATCCAAAGAACCAACTCCTCGGGTTGTAATCCTAAAACCACAAGTTCACCCTGGCACACGCCGGCCTACAGGTTTAGGCTTAGGTTGTTAGGTTTAGGGTTTAGGGTTTAGGGTTTAGGGTTTAGGGTTTAGGGTTTAGGGTTTAGGGTTTAGGGTTTAGGGTTTAGGGTTTAGGGGTTAGGCCTTAAGGCCTGAACCATATGCACGAAGCCCTCTGAAATTCCCCCGGAAAATCACACGGGGAGTGTCCTTTCAAAGCAGCTTCCCCTCAAGGACGTCTGCGAAGCACTCCGCTGCTTCGACTTCCTCACGCTCCTCAGAGGAAGGTTTAGGGTTTAGGGTTTAGGGTTTAGGGTTTCGGGTTTCGGGTTTTGGGTTCAGGGAAGTTGTATCGGGTTTGTGCCCGGAGTTTCCGGGGGCGTTGTCGGGTTTTAGTGCTTGCTTTTGTTGGAATTTGCCAGCTTTGCTTCCGGAGTTGTGGGTTTTGCTGGGGAGTTGTTGGGCGGTTCTGTCGTTTCTTCTCTTTTTCTTTTTAGTGAAATTGAAGCATAGGCCTTTTGGGGCCCTGCCTCTTAATGACAGCATGTTGTTGTTGTTTGGGCTTGTTGCTTGGGCGCACTTGGCTTGCCGGAGGGTGGGCGATGTTATGGCTCCAAAACATGCATTCTACTTTAGGGTTTAGGGTTTATAAGGTTTAGGGTTTGTAAGGTTTAGGGTTTGTAAGGTTTAGGGTTTAGGGAAGCCCCCCAGATCCTGAACTAGCTTTCACGTCGAGTTTTGGGATACAGCACAAACGCGCGGCCAAGCCCGCGCCGCGCACCCGGTAGTTTGTAAAGAGTTCTTAGGAACCGCAAATCCTACAAACCCTAAACCCTAAGCCCTAAAACCCCAAAACCCCTAACCCCTAATCCTACAAACCCTAAACCCTAAACCCTAAACCCTAAACCCTAAACCCTAAACCCTAAACCCTAAACCCCAAACTCCTAAAAGCCCTAATCCATAGAACCCCAGCTCCGAAGGGTTTGGATCCCCAAGTCTCCGCGTCGTCCATGGCACTGGCAGCCGCCAAGTCCTTTTGCGCACTCCACTTTGCCTGGGACTTGTGGGCTAGGGTTTAGGGTTTAGGGTTTAGGGTTTAGGGTTTAGGGTTTAGGGTTTAGGGTTTAGGGTTTAGGGTTTAGGGTTTAGGGTTTAGGGGTTTCAGGGAATATGGTACCTTAAACCCCTAACTCCTTAACCTTTTTTTTTTTTGCCTGCAGGGATTTAGCCAAAGTTCTAGGCTTTCGGGCTTTGGATTGAAGGTGTTGAGGGTGTTGAGGGTGTTGAGGGTGTTGAGGGTGTTGAGGGTGTTGAGGGTGTTGAGGGTGTTGAGGGTGTTGAGGGTGTTGAGGGTGTTGAGGGCATGGGGCTTCAGGGTTCGGGTCATGGGGTCTTAGGGTCTCTGTAAGGGTCGTGGGTTGGAAAGAACGAGACTTACCCGGCAGCTTCTAGGAGTCTGAGTCGTAGGGCTTAGTTAGGGGTTGGCTTCGTTGAAGTTGTGTAGGTGTAGTCCAACAGGTTTAGGGTTTAGGGTTTAGGGTTTAGGGTTTAGGGTTTAGGGTAGGTGTAGTCCAACAGGTCTGGGGCGAAGGTTTTGGGCGGGTGTTGGCTGATGTTCCTTGTGACTTGGGATCTCAAAGGTCGGCGTTCTTCTCACACGAGTCACAGACGTGGATTCCAAGCCTGTGTCAGCGAACTTGACGAGCATGCTTTCTGACTACAAAGCAAAATCCAGGGGGCCAGAAACTTGAAACGTGATCGCTTCAAGTCGTGCGCAAAGGTTAAAGAACGTGCCTGACATGTGCTGGTACACTTTTTTGTGGCTAAGCTGAATTCGAAGCCTTGTTCAATGAGGCTGACCAAAACGGTTTCCAAGCAAAAAACCGATTCCGGGAATTAGAAAGGCGATTCACTGAGTCATGCACGAAAGTCACGATATGTGCGCGACGCACGGTTCAAGCGAAAGCGTTAGCGAAAGGCTTGTGCAAGGGGTTCATGAGTTCAGGGTTGCTACGGATCCCAAAAACCTTCTGAAGCACACGCTGCTACGAAACCTGTTGAACAAGGATAAACCCTAGGCCCTCACGAATTCAAATCGTTTTCAGGGTGCTGGACCTGAAGCCCGAGCAATAATCCTTGAACCCCTAAACCCTAAACCCTAAACCTTAAACCCTAAACCCTAAACCCTTAAACCCTAAACCCTAAACGGATTCATGGGATTCGGGGCCTCTGCCGGTTCTTCAGAGGTTTTGCGACGTCCAGTCATGTCATCTAGTCAAACCAGGACACATGCTGTTCTCGTCAGTAACTAGCACAACTGAATGAACTGTGAAGCCCTGCAAGCAAGTTCATTCGGTGTGACCCTGATTGGATGAAGAGTCATAACTGCACTACTATATAATATCTAAGTCCGTTGTTTGAACTTTTGGCATGCGCTGCGTAAGTCTTCATCGCAGGTATCCTGTAGACCCCCAAAAACCCGAAACCTCCTAAGTGCTAAGCTGTAAACCCCTAAACCCTCCCTAAACCCCAAACGAAAACCCTAAACCCTTTGCGGCCGCGCTGCCGCATAGCGTAGCCAAGCGTCCGCTACAGGCTCGACCACGGGAGTATCCCTGAGGGAGGCCAGCAGTGCCCTATAATCCTATAGAGGTTTTAGGTTTAGGGAGATTAAGGTTTGGGAGTTGAGCGTTTAAGGCTTTTCAACGGTTACGACTACGACTTCGGCTTCTTCTACTGCTAAGGCTGCCGCACCCCTGTTGGCTAGTGCTTCTCCTAAAGCCACCCTCATGCCAGAAGTGTGAAACTGTAAAAGGATTGGATTTAGATCCCTAAGAACTCGGGTTTCTGAGGACGCTGGTCCAAACATTTACATGTATAACTGTATATATATATATATATCTATATGTAAATGAAGAAGTATACACATATATATATATATATATATGATTGCGGTTCGCGCGTCGCCGGTCCACCCCCCTCCCCCTCCCCCCCAAAAATATGCCCCCCACCCAGACCCCAAACCCTAAACCTTAAAACCCTGTAAAACCCCTAAACGCTAAACCCTAAACACCAAACCCCACACCACACCAAGGGGGGGGCGGGGGGGAGGGGGGAGAGGGGGGGATCGGGCGCCCTCTGATCAGATATATCTATATACTTAAATATGTATGTATTTATCATTTCTGTATATATATATATACAAATACATTCTATGGGATGGCTTTTCCTGCTCTTAGATGCCCCTATCTAGGAAACCCTGAGGGCTGGAGCAGCAAACTTGGCTCTTCCCACACGCAACCAAGCTAACTAATCTTGAAACATCCGGAACCTAATTCCGCACTGAAGAATGCCTCGAACTGCCTCCTTACACTAGCTTTTGATAGGAATTTCAATCGTCCGTGCGGGTTAGGATTCTTGCATGGCTTCGGATTTAGAACACCCGCCGCTTCAAGCCCCGCTCGCCTCGCAACTAAGCGGAAAATGGCGGGCCGTTGTGCGAGCGTCTTGGCTGGATGTAGAGTTGCGGGGGTTAGCGTTGTTGTTTGCTTGCAGGGGTATGGAGTTTGGGAGTCAAGGGTTTGATAAGGGTTGTGGGCCACGCCCTAAACTAAAACTGGGTTCGTTCCCAAGACAAAACAGTCTTCTAGCTCCAGAAGACACCGAAAATCGAAAACACAAGCTTCAGAAGGAGTTGGGATGGCGGAAGCCCTACAACAAACATAAGGCGCATAGAAGGCCTGCAGCCTGAACAGGCTTGGGACTCAGGGTTTAGGGCTTCGGGTTAGCACATAAATCATTCCCGAAGCAAGCTGCGGGGCTTTAGGGCTCAAAACTATCGAGTCCAAGGCACCCATGATTTCTGACGCCAAAACCTCAAAGCCGTAACCCAAAAAGCACCCTAATTAAACCTTGTACCCCAAACCCAGAAATCTAAAACCCTATATTAAAACCAAACATTCTCATACCAAAGCCGCCGGTACGCCGTCATCCACTTCGATGGCTGCGCAGTCTCTTTCGAGATGTCCAGTGCCTCGGTTCTCTTTGAGAAGAAGTAGGGTTTAGGGCTGAGGGTTTTGGGGCAAGGGGTTAAGCAGACGGTGTTGTTCTGATAATAACACGAGAGTCATCCCAGTAAGTCAAGTTGGGCCACCTTAAACCCTAAACGCTAAACCCTAAACCCTAAACCCTAAACCCTAAACCCTAAACCCTAAACCCTTGAATGCAGCCCAAATCGGCATTCTGACAGCGTGTCTCTTTTGACGGAGGGGCACAGGCCGTAGTTCTGAAGCCACAGCGCTTCAGGTACCAGAGTCGCTGCCATGCAACCTGCAGTATGCATATATACATATATATATATATATATATATATCTATCTGTACATATATATATATCTATATGTATATATAATGTATATATATATATAGATATGTATGTGTGCAGAACTTAGGGTTTAGGGCCTGTTGAGGACTTCGGTTTAGCATTTAGGGTTCAGGCGCCCAGGCTTTGTGATGAGCTACGGTACTACGTCAGCTATACCATGGCAGAGTAGGATATAAATAACCATAATGCAGTGTACTAGTCCGTAGTATACAAAAACAACAAACCATAAAACAAACCAAATCAACATATTCCCTACCGTGCATGCAGCTGTATGGCGTGCCCTAGAACGGTACCACCAGCAGGGTCTCAGTTAAGGTCCCTACGTAGCTAAGGTCGCTGATCCCTAAACCCCAAGAGCACTTCTACACACTGCCCTCTAAACCCTAAACCGAACTTTGCCTCTCAAAGCCCTAAACCAGAACCCTAGAGTCCTAAAGTTCAGAGATGAGCACTGATGCCCTCACTCCCTACTACACCCTGAAGCCTAAACACAAAAGTCCACATCTAAAGAAGTCTCCCAAAAAATCCTAAAACCCCGTAACCCCTCAACCTCTACGCCCCTAAACGTCTCAATCCTCTACCCTTCAAAAGCCCTAACAATGTTAGGGTTCAGGGTTTCGGGGAAGCCCCTAAAATAGGGGCCTGAAGAACTGCTGGTGGTTACTCTCGTACCATTACAAAGGGACCATAAGGGAACATGATTAGCAACTATTCCGACCCCTCTATGAAGTAGGGTTTATATTTCTTGTATCCCCAAAAGGACACCCAGTATATACACTCACCAATAATAAACAAGAACCTTATATACACTCACCAATACCAGTCATATCTACCCTGCTTCATGTATTGCGGCATGAGTTGTGCCTTCCAGGAGGGGCACATCGTAGCCTGCCCAGGACCAGCGGTGGAGGGACTGGCAGTACCTAAGTTCTGAGGTTTAGGGTTTAGGGTTTAGGGTTTAGGGTGTTTGGGGTTGGGCGTTCGAAGTCTGCATCCCCCACAGCCCACAGCTTCTGCGCCATACTACAGTAGACCTGACACCCTAAACCCTAAACCACCCACCATCTGCTGGGGTGCAAGGCCGTTGGTGAACTTTCCGTCCGAGCCTCCTCGCGGGGAGTTGAGGGGCCGGGGGTTTAGATGGGCATAGGGGTTAAGGTTTAGGCGGGTACAGTAGGCGTCGAACAAAAGGGAGCGCCCAAAAAGGGAACGTTGGACGAACCTTGTCCAAACCTCCAAACCAAGCCTCGGGGAAGTCAGGCGACTTCGACGAAGGAAAGAGAAGGGTTTGTGAAGCTGTGCTTGCCGAGCCTGATGTTCTTCAATTCCGACCTCGCAACTTGCCCCCAGCGGGATCGATGAACCCTGACCCCGAACAAGCCTTGGACGAAAGGGCGAAGCTTCAACGAAGGCGTGAGGGTTCAACGAAGGCCGGCGGGCTTAAACGAACATTGTCCATGTTTCGCGTGGTGGTCGCCCTTTGGGCAGGTCTCCTGCGTTAGCCCCCGACTAAGGTCTAGGGCTCAGGGGTTGGTTTAGCCCAAAACCACCTAAGCCCTGAACTCTGTCAATCCTGTTTGTGTAGCTTGTCCTCTTTCAAGAAGGGAGCTGTCAACATGCTCAAGCCGCTTCCTCCGGCTTTCTACAAAACCCTCAAAGCCAACTCTGCGAAACATGAAAACCTGATCAAAACCTGCTTACAACGGAGCAATGACCAAAAGCCTGCTGAACTGCAATGCACAATTAAGTGTGCGTAGGTAGGCAGAGGTGCAGATGAACCCTCACAAGCCTCCTTCCAACACTCCCTAAACCCTAAACCCTCAGCCCTAAACCTTAAACCCTAAACCCGAAACCCTAAACCTAAACCCTAAACCTAAACCCTACACCCTAAACCGTATCGCGTCTCCTGCGCGCGCAGGAGTCTCGAAACCACCTGGGGCATCAGAGAGGCTGTCTCTTGGTTGTAGACCAGGTCCGAGCCCAGGATCAAGTCCTTAGCTTCTGGTTTAGGGTTTAGGGTTTAGGGTTTAGGGTTTAGGGTTTAGGGTTTAGGGTTTAGGGTTTAGGGTTTAGGGTTTAGGGTTTAGGGTTTAGGGTTGAGGGTTTAGGGTTTAGGGTTCGGTTCTGAGCCCAGAATCAGGTGATTAGCTTTTCTGGAAGGTTTAATCGTGATCTTGGGGTAGAAATACGTATTCAAAGTATGGGTTTGGTGTTGTAGCAGGGCATCCTTACCGACGTTCAGGCCCGGCTCAGGTAGGCTTTCATTCCACCACTTGTTTTCCTGGTTTGTGCTTCTAGAGTTTGCAACTCTGCTGTTGCGGGATCTGCAACCCTGTGCCATCAACGCCAACACCTAAACGCCAAGCCCTCAACCCTCCACTGCAAGCGCTACATCAGGAAGCCTACGCCCTCAACGTAAAAACCCCTGTGCTCCTACAATGCCCAGTCCCAAAAACCGAAATCCGTCAAAGCCCTTGAACAGCGGAGCGTCCCAGGGTTCCTGGCAAATGCTGCTGCCCTCCTCAAGGTGTGGTCTGGGTCTGGGGGGCTTTGGGTTTAGGGTTGAGGGTTTCGGATTTAGGGGTGGGTTTAGGACTTAGAGTTGCGGAGTTCAGGTGGGTTTAGGGTTTAGAGGCTAAGGCTTGGGGTGTGGCATTGATCAGTTAAGGCCAGTCGTGTGCCGACAGCCCCATCCCAACGCCGCACAACACACCGCTTAAGACCAAAACTGACGTATCAAGCGTTTTCAGGTTCAGGAATGTATCCGCATAACAGGTTTCTGGAAGTCACGGACCTTTCTCATCGATCATTTTCGGGCTTATTCGCAGTGGGCCATGGAGGGCCTGTCCGATTCTGTAGGGGCCAATGCCAGACGCGTGAGCACGGTTTGAGGCCTTCGCAGTTCAGGGTCAAGGGTCTTGGGTTTGAGCTGCTGGGGGCGATTTCGGGCTCAGGGTTTGGGAGTGTTTAAGCTGCCTTATGGTTCCGTCGAGTGCATTCATGTGCAAAAGGAGCACTTGCCACTCTCAGAATTCAAGGCCACTATGAACCGTTACCCTGTCGTAGGACGGTACAGTTGGAGACCTAATCTTAAAGTACTCGAAGCCCCAAACTCTGAACCCTCAAGCCAAAAACAAGGATCTCCCGCCTGGACTGTGCCCTGATCCCTCAACCCCACACCCTACTGGCAAACCCCCCAAATCTAAACTTAAACCCTAAAAGCCCTAACCCTAAACCCTAAACCCTAAACCCTAAACCCTAAACCCTAAACCCTAAACCCTAAACCCTAAACCCTTTAAATTAAAACCCTAAACCCAACAAACCCAAATCCAGGCCAGCTGCTACGTCTGCCCAGTCAAAGCCGACGACCTCCACCTTCCCCACGCCGGGAAGGTCCGAGTTCAGCCTCCGTTTAGGGTTTAGGGTTTAGGGTTTAGGGTTTAGGGTTTAGGGTTTAGGGTTTAGGGTCCCAAGGACGCAACTTTTCGGTACTTTGGTGCTTCTACACAGGGAACAAAGCTACGAGGATTATGGTGCTGAGTCGTTCTTTGGGGTCCTCAGTCCTGGCAGCCTTGGGGCCATCCTCAGGCTTTGCGCCCTGGGGCTTACTTTAGGGTTTAGGGTTTAGGGTTTAGGGTTTAGGGCTACTCATGGGTTTAGGGTTTAGGGCTTTGTCGGCAATTCACCCTTCATGTGGGGGTAGCCTTATGAGAAGCTAGTGATACGGACCCCCGGTTTCGGGTTTAGGGTTCAGTCTTGGTGCGGTGAGTCAGAGTGTTGAAGCATCACCCGGACAATAGCTTTTCCAGATGCGATTTTCGGGTTCTGATACGGAGTATATCTCGGAGACTCCAAGTCGTCAGATCGGAAGTATGCCGGACTCAATTACTTGGATTCTCCGGGTGAAGTGAATGATGTTGGAGTGTCGTGCCCAAGACTTGCTTGCTACATCTTAACACCAAATACCCGAAGCCTAGGCATGCAAACCGGTATGCTTTAGGCAAACGTGGATCATGTTGCAATCCTTGTAATGCTTGTCCTCAGAGTTGTGAATTCTGCCCTAAAACCCCAACAACAGAACTCCACACGCCAAAAGCCTCAGAGCCCTAAGACCTGAAACGGCTTCAGTTCTTGCACCCATGCAATCCCTTGCAACCCTAAGCCCGACGCCCCTAAACCCCATAGCGCTGTACCACTCAACCCCCCAAACATCCAAAACCGCAATTAGCCGTGGGAGCTCCACTGTGCGCTGCAAGTGCCCCAACGCATCTTGATGGATCGGAGTCTCCTCGGTTTGCATGTCGTGTTGGTTTGGCGTTGTCTTCGTTGGGTTTCCAAGGGCTCTGAATGTTCAAACTAACGGTTTTGCTATTGGCAGGCCCCTATACCTAAACCTTACATCCTGAACTCGAAACTCAAAACTTCAAACCATGAAGAGGTTTGCTAGGCCTAGGTGTTTCGGGGGGCGGGAGCGTCGGGAGGGGGCGGGAGGGGGTTGGGAGGGTGCAGGGCTGGGTGGGGGGGCTGGTGGGGGCTGTGGGGGTTCGCTTGATCATGGGCCCTGTGCTACCATGGATGTCGTCGTCGTCGTCGGCGGCAACACAATAATGCGCCATCCATAGTGCGCTCTAGAATACCAGTAGCGCATTCTGATGCACCATAGATTCTCTCCGATGCTGAAGTCGGCCCTTTCCGGCTCTGCACATCCATTCTCAAGCCTACAAACCCCCAAACCGGACACGCAAAGAACTCAGAAGCCTTAGAGGTAAGATCCCTCATCATGTCTTCTCTCAGACCCTACAGCAACCAAACCAAAACCTCAAAGTCTGGTTGGCCCTCCCTAAACCCCAAACCCTAAACCCTAAACCCCAAACCCTAAACCCTAAACCCTGTGTGCAGCCCAGGAGGCCGTCAGGAGGATGCGGCCGAGATCCGGAAAGGAGGCCGCGAGGGAGAGTCCCAGCCAGCCTTTTGGGCAGATCCAGTGGTGGTTAGGGTGGTTTAGGGTTTAGGGTTTAAGGTTTAGGGTTTAGTGTTTAGGGTTTAGGGTTTGGGGCTTTAGGGTTTGGGGCTTTGGGGCTTAGGGGCTTTAACAACTTTTTGCGAGTTCAGGGTTCAGGATTTAGGGCTTATGACCTTTAGGTTCTTTCACTTCAACAGTTTGTGGTCAAGGGCCTGGGGGGTTACCAACAACTCTCGTCCCTACTGCTTTCAAGTTTGAGTAGCAAAGTATTCGACATGCCGCGCAAAACTAAACTTCAAGAATACGAATAAGTCCATCAGGACCCAAGTTTCTTTGAAAGCGCAGACAGAGCCTATTGCAAGAAGCCCAAAGCCCTGCAGCAAACCTGAACCCTAGACCCTAAACCGTAAACCCTAAACCCTATCCCCTGAACCCAAGTCTCCAGGCCTGTGCCGGAACCCAACTCAAGGATGCGAACTCCTACCATCGCGGGGAGGGAGCAGTTTCAATGGCTTTCAATTTAAGGGATTCAGGACTTAGGGTTTAGGGTTTATTGCTTAGGGTTTACGTTTAGCTGGGTTTAGGGGTGGTCTTGAGAAAAATAAGATTCTAGGCTTGAGGCTTCTCAAGTTTTGGGGTTTAGGAGTTCGGTCGTCAATGATTTCAGGAATGTACGGTCTACAGTATGGGTGGTTGTGGGGTTTGAGCTTTTGGGGGTCTAAACCCTAAACCCTAAACCCTATACCCTAAACCCTAAACCCTAGACCCTAAACCCTAAACCCCAAACCATTGCTTTGGTGTCTTAAAGTCTTGGGACTTGGGTTCGTGAGACGTTTTGGCATCCTGGCCCCCTGGACCCGACAGCTCCAGAGTTTACTTGGGTTTAGGGTTTAGGGTTTCGGGTTCAGGGTTCAGGGTGTAAGGTTTAGGGTTTAGGTTCAGGGTTTCGCCTATACATCCTAAGCTTTCAAGAGTTGGGGTCTAGGGATACAAGTCGCTTGCCTTTTGTCCGACAGCCTGTCCAACTTTGTGTGCATGATATGGCGACCCCTAAACCCCAATTTCCCAAACCACAAAACCCTTTCTCACGCAACCTAACCCCGAAGTACGAAGCCCCTAACCCACATCTAGAGCCCTAGGCCTCGAAGTTTAAGACAGTCCCGAAGTAAGCCGCAATACCTTCGACCCTCAAGCGCAAACCCTAAACCCTAAACCCTAAACCCTAAACCCTAAACTTAGGCCCTAAACCCTAAACCCTCAAGCTCAAGCCCTAAGCCCTTCGAAGCTACCCCGAAGCGAGGGGGTCCCGCACTCCTGGCTTCAGCAGCCCTTGCTGTCGCCCGTGCGCTCCTCTGGGAAGGGTTTTCAGGGCTGAAAGTCTTGGGGTCGTGACATTTAGGCTAGGCCTCAGAGCTTCAAGCCTCTAAGACTTCCAAGCCCTAAACTCTATATCAATGCCTTTGTCCTTTTCCTCAGCCCCCGACCTCTAAAGCTCGAAACCCAAACCTGATAACGGAAACGCCGAGCGGCGCAGGAAGGACAGCAACTCGACGGCGGCACCCCAGACGAGTGTTGAGCACCTTCAGCTCCCCTATACTGTCCATTGCAAGTTTCGGGCAATTTCCCTATTGAGCTTTTGTACTAACCTAAACCCTATAAACCTTACAAGCTTAAACCTAAAGTACCTAAAGCCTGAACCTTACACTCAAAGTAGTACGAGGTCCTAGTATACGAAAGCATGCAGAACTGTACCGCATGAACAAGTGTCTCAAGTAGCGACTATTCTGCACTTTTGCATTGTGTGCCACGAACCTCTACGCCATCCGAAATTTTCCTTATCCCGAAAGTCCTAAACCTCAAACCCTTCCTAAACCCTACGCCCTTCCAGAGTTGCATGGCCTGTCGCCAGAGGACTGCAGCAGCTTGATCGATGGCTCCTGGCAATCTAAGCCTTAGGGTGGTTTCAGAGGGTACGAGGTAGTAGGACAACAGTGGTCGCTTGAATGATTCGCAGCCCTGAGCTATAATCTGCTATAGCGAATAAGGTACCACGATACTCCAAACCCTCGATCCTAAACCGTAAACATAACCCCAACTATAAATCGGCTTCAGGACAAGAAGTCTGACAGAAGACAGGAGCGCTTATCCAACTTCCTGGAGCTCATGATCGTTTGTTCAGTATCTCGCATGGGCTACAAAACAACAATCCCCAAAAGCAAACCCGAAACCGCTAGTCACTCAACCCACCCGAACAATCTGCAGACTTTGTGGGCTCAGAAGCTCCTCATCGCTCGCCGTGCGCTCTTGCCACTCCATGGACAATCGGCAGTTTAGAGCTGCAGAAATAAGACTTGCAATGGCAATAGCATTCGGAGAATATGAATATCCGTCAAAGTACTATCAGCAGTAAGAACGCAAATGATAGCCATACGAATAGGGGCCATAGCAGTACTACCATGATGTTGGGTATCATTCGTGTTCTGCGATCAAGGGTGGAAGATAACAAAAACCAAAACCCCCCGAGGGCCCCTTCACAACCCTAAACCCTAAACCCTAAACCCTAAACCCTAAAGCCTTTTCCCAGAAAAAAACACTGTCTTGGAAGATGATGACGCTCTCTTCAGTGACATCAATTGCATCTCACGGGTTGACTTGCGCCCTAAACCCTAAACCCTAAACCCTAAACCCTAAACCCTAAACCCTAAACCCTAAACCCTAAACCCTAAACCCTCACATGTGCGCGACATGTGTGTTAGGCGCGCTGCCAGTGTAGTGGCTGCAGCTTCAAGGGCTGACTTACACAGGCGCACCACATGATTCCAGTCCACACTCCACTTAGCGGCTCTCCACTCCAGTGGCCGGTGATGGTTGGAGCAGGGTTGGAGAGCTGGGGAGTGCTCCTCGAATGCAGTACCCTTAGAGCTCTTGGACTAGGAGGTGCGCCTCAAGCTCTTGGAATGCTTTTGGAGACGGCTTGGGGATCCTCTTGGCGGGCTCCTGGTGTTTCTGGCTTTTCCTCAGTCCACACTCAGTTTACACTACATTCAACACGCGCGCGATTTTAGCTGCCGACCTTCTTGGTGGATGCAATTTGCGCACGATCCACAAGCAACACAAGGTCACTTCCTTTCCGTGTGAGAAAACAAAATTCTGGCTACCCGAGGAGCTACAAAGCAACGACGGCGAAGCACATCCGTGATACTGAAAGTCTCTTTAAAACGTTAACCATGATAACGCAAAAAAATGGTTTCGATTTTCGTTCCGGAGTTCCTGTTCCTGTATCAACCGATTTGTACTGCGTTATCTCATTTGAACCGCAACCCTCATTCTTGCTCCCTCGTTTCAACTACTTCTTCCGTGGTCCTGCTATCGCTGCTGTTCTATGCTGCGGCATCAACAATGTCTATCATCAATGGTCATCTGCAAGATTGAGTATAGATGGTTTGAATTCCATCTGTTGCGCATGAATGCTGAGTGATAAACCCTGAATTCAATAACTTAAAGCCCCCAGGCCCTGAATAGGGTCTTAAATGAAGCCAGCGGCATCGTCGGAGGTTCTTTTCGATCCCGGCGCGCGTGCGTGCTCGCGTGCTGCCTTGCCTATTGCAGCTCAACAAAGGTTTCGGGTTTGGAGTCTAGGCTGTAGGGTTTAGGAGCCAAAACCCGAGAATTCAGGGAGGTTCGGGAGCTCCAACAACTGGGGGTGCATGCTTAGTCGGCATGCACCTCTAGCTGGAAATCGTTCACAGTCAGCCAGGCATGATCATCCTCAGCAATATCCGCATGCGTATCCTTGGGGGCTGACTTCTCTGGACTAACCTGGGGCTCCTAAAGGAGGTTTCGCAATACATCAGAAAGGTTAAAGGCTACCTGCTCAGCACCAAAGTATCCACCAGGCGCCAATGTTGGCCGTCCCGGTTGACCTCGGTTGTCCCTGAACCCAAAACCCGAACCCCTCTGAAAAGGTCATTCTTAACTTGGGTCCTCTTAAGCCCACTCTGCGATCTCGCCTGGGCTAGGCCTAAACCCTCTAGACCCTCAAACCCTATAAACCCTAAACTAGCTCATGGTTGGGACAAGATGAAAAATTCAATGTTTATTCCTTATTGGGTTTAAAGTACCCTTAAAAATGTAACATGTTACCCAACTATGACAAAGTAAACGTTTAGGGTTTACAAGGGGTCCGAAATCCCCGAGGGCCTACCAAGTGGCGTCGATCCGTTGAGAGCCGAGTCCAGGTCCTGCTCGGACTTTGCCAAGAAACTCCCACTGCCCATCTGCATTCCACACCTGGGGTGTGGGGTTTAGGGTTTAGGGGTTCAGGGGTTTAGGGTTAGGGGTTTGGGGTTTTGGGTAGGAGGGAGAGGGGGCGTTCACAGAATCTCGAACATCAAGAAGATGTTAGTCCTTATATCGTTTTAGAAGGGTACCCAACAAGAGGGCCTCAGAAAAAAAAAAAAAAACGTAACTTTAGAGGCAACCCCCGGCAACCTGCAGACTCAGGCTGACGCTGGTGCCGGACAGGTTCCTTTGCCCGGGCATCCGCACCATGGAGACAGCATCAACCAAGGCGTAGTCCACATGCACAGCCATGGGATACGTTGCTGTGACACAGCGGTGTTTGCTCGCCTGACATGGGAGATGCACTCCAAGCAACAGCTTGAACTGCATCAACTGCGTCAGGAGACTTGGCTTGAGCGTGTCGGTAACGAGCTTGTGGGGAAGGTCGCTGCACGGAACTGCCGCTTGCATCTTGAATCGCAGAACGCTCCTATACTCCCCTTAGAACCTTAATAACAGTAGCATTTTTAATATCCTCTTGAGTTTTATATGAACAAAAAATAACAAATAATTCCCAAGGGGGATATAGGCTCAGTGCAAGCTTCGACTGGTTGATGAAGCGCCAGTGCCGGCCCCTTCGGTGCACGGGTATGGTTTCCAACTGGCCATTCACGGCGCAATTGGACTTTGCCAAGGTCTCCCAGGTGCCAGCACTGTTCCTCGGCTCCCCAGTGACTTGTAGGGATGGTTCAAGGAACCCTGTTTCGTTTTCGCGCTAAGAAAACTGGAATGCTATTGTCAGATGTATGGGCCACCACTGGTAATACGAACTGCTACTACTGAAACTCCCCAAGGTGCATGACTTGGAGCTCTGCGCCCTTCAAACTCCGCGGCCCCCAACCCTCCAAAGGCGCCACCATCACAAAGTCCACGTGCACATGCGAGGCAAAGCTCGCAACAATGTGACACCAATCTCCGGACCGAGAAATGCAGGCCGAGCCACGATTTGTGAAATCTTGCAAAAGATATTTGTTTCCGCTATGGTTCTGGACGCTGTCATCCTCGCGTGCCGCGTGATGTAGCTCCAGGTCCCAAGTCTTATGCTCACCTTCTGTGCATTTCAGGTGCAGGAGCTCAAGCAGAAGCTCGTTCTCCATCTTCGGTGTCCACCACTCCTCCGTGGGCGCGCTTTCCTTCCGGAACGAATCCGCATCATGACAGCCGGATGCACAGCTTCGCAGCACTGCGGCCAGCGCCAGTGACTTCACCGCTTGGTTGTGCTGGGCTGTTGATCTGCGCAAGAGGGACCAGGCCGTGCTACCCTGCAGACTGGCCTTGATGCGCCTCAGGGCCTCCAGGCGAAGCGCGGCCCATGCTGGCTCAGATAGCTGAAGATAGTTCTGTCCCCCGGGCCCTGCCATGGACAGCAAATCTACCAAGTCACACGACGTCACGACCTCGTCATCGATGGTCTCTGCAAGGCGGCCTGTGTATAGAAACAGGAGCAGCGCCTTCACAGCAGCAATTCGCGGCTGGAGGGGTGTACTGATGGGAATGTTTCTCGTCCAAGCCTCCTGCATGGGGGTTGAAAGCATCCGCTCGTAGAATTGTGATCGGGCGCCCAGGATGAAGCGGTGCGCGGCCACCTAGGTTCCCGACACCCTAAACCCTAAACCCTGAACCCTGAACCCTAAACCCTAAACCCTAAACCCTAAACCCTATGCTTCTGTTTCATTGGGTTCATGAGGGACCCTAAACCCAGCACCGTCAACAAAAACAGAAACAACAAAAAAGGAGAAAGGCACCACTGGGGGGCCCAGCCCAGCGACATGACATGAGGACCCGAAGCTGAGATAGCAGTCAGACCGAAAGAGCAACTCAGCTTCAGAAAACAAGACTTCCAAGTCCTCTGCAAGGCAAGGCGTGGAAGGTGCCAGCAAGCGCGAGATAGATCGGACCAAAGACGTGTGTCTATGTAGCTATCTATCTACGTAATCTACATACAACATGAAGAGGATGTAGAGCAGAAGGGACTGGAAAGAACACGTAACGTCCTCTGCAAGCTTTGAAGGTGGAACGCTGAATTCTGCAGCCTCCACCGCCTCGCCAGGCGGGAGCGTTCCGGCAGCTGCACAGATTGCACGCGCCACGGCGCCTGGATGATCTTTGCCAAGCATCTCAACCTAGGCCCAATAACCTAGGACAAGGCTTTTTAGGGCTTTATGGGACTGTGGGTTGAGACAAACCCTCAAAAAGTGGCGGGGAGGCGGGGGGGGGGGGGGGGGGAAAGGGGTATCACTGAGAATGCGAGCAACCAAGGACTGGTTGAAGGAGGCTTCCTTGATGAGGTTCTTGCCCTTACGGGCAAGGAAGGCATACACACACCCTTCAGCGAACTTGGAGCCGATGTTAAGTGAGGCCTGCAGGATTTGCACAACGTTGGATTCTGAGATGTTGTCGCAGACTCTCTGCTCACACATGGCGTATAGCCTTCGCATGGAGCAGCCACGCACTTCCCGCCGTGCGCGCTTACCAGGTGGTGTTTCACGGCTCTCATCTGGAATGAACAAATCCCGCGCAAGGTTCATAAGCCCCAACAGAGAATTGATTTCGCCGGGTTCTGTGCTCAAGCAGTCAGTGTAAATAAACAGAAGTAGCTGCTGCAATGCCTGCACAGCTGCGCCCGCATGAATGACACAGGCCGTCCCATCCGGCTGATGTGTCGCCCGCGCAGCTAGTTCTGGACAGCGAATCTGAAGCAAAGCGAAATGTGCCTTCACCTCGCCATCCTGCCCTTTCACACGTGTATCGGAAAAGAGACACTCGCCCGTAACAAGTGCTCTCAAATCATTTTGTATGGCCTCGTTGATGTCTGCCACCATCACATCAACAAGCTCTACGGCAAGCTAAAGGCCCATCACTGGAGCCCCAATCGCCAAAGAGCATTGGAGTTCAAGTTACCCAAGCACAGATTTCAACACTGTGGAGTGTGCAATGCGACATTGGCAAAACCGCGCTAGATCCTGGGGCAAACCTAGGGCACCGGAATATTATATCGGTATTTTTCGTCTCGTTTAACAGTTGAAGGTTGAGACTCCCAAATTGGAAGAGCACTCACCAAATGCCATTGTCTCTTGAGATATCGTCCTTCGTCGACGTCTACTTCGGGAGTCCGAAGAGATGGGGCAAGCACCTTCAGCGGTGGAGTGGAAGCTGAGAGTAAACATCCCCCAGAGCAGAGCTCTCGCGTGGTTGATCAAAATTTGGTCTCTCTTGTATATGGGTATATTCCGTTTCCAAATCGTCTAGAGGCACCGTACCGCATACTCCTTGTACTTTAGTGCGCTGCAAGACACATATACCTGAACTACATCGTTTAGACCAAACGCTCCTTACACCAACTTCAGGTTACTATGAAGGCCTCCCTATAATTTAATGTCCATGTGCACATTGGGTGTCTAGCTGCTGGCCTAAAACTCGAACCCCCCCCCGGGGTTTTGATCTCGTAATGCTTGTCAGTCACCCTAAGTGTAGATTTGCGGAGGCACCGTGGACGAGAGAATGTCGCGTATAATCCTTTCAAAACTACTGTTATAATAATCCTCATAATATTACTGTTCTAGTGATCTAATCCTTATAATACTACTGTTATGGTGATATTGCTTTTGTATGTGTATAGACATTGGTTGAGATACACGAAACTTTTGCGGCACAAGCCAGATGGCTTAAATTTGGGGCAGTCGCTCTCCCGCAGTTGAGGGGAGCAACCGTGAAACTCTGTGAAACCGGTCGCCGACACTTGCATGAGCAGAACGCACAGCAGATTTGAGGCTTGGCGATTTACGGTTCAGGGTTCAAGGCAACACTGAAGCTTTTCGCCCCAGGGAAGCGGTGTAGGTTTAGGGTCTCTTTCGGACTTTAGTAACCCCAAATACCCCAAATACCCCAAACCATCATATGCTACCTCTTCAAACGCAGGGGCTTTGAGAAGTGCCGCTACTCCGCATCCTAGAAATCTTGGGTGCTGCTCACGTTTGCGCTCGGCCTTAGTTCGAAGGGCTGAACTTGGAGAGGTTGCGCTTGCTGTTGAGTGTTCAGAGGGCCTGCAGCGCTTATGGGGTTTATAGGGTGGATAGGGCTTTTCAGGGGTTTATAGGGCAGATAGGGCTCATGGGGGTTACAGGGTGTAGGGTTCATAGGGTTTATGCGCTTTCGCCCGTGTTTTGAGGTGGAGATTGTGGGAAGCCGCGTGGCACAAGTCCAAAGTCATGCGGAATCATGCCATGGTAAGTCCGTGTGGCACTCTGCTCATTTGATAATGACGGGTCACTTTCGCGCTGGCCCCCTCATCAGTGTTTTCCTGCTGCTGATTTCAGAATGGTCAGATGGAAATTCATCGCTTACAATCCACAATCTCTCAAACGAGCTGACAGAGAGCGCCGAGTCATACATGCATTACACAGCAATGATGTCATCGCACTGTCCGGCACCCGTCTGCCAGATGGCGACATCGCAGTCAGTCAGCGTAGAGTTGAAACGCATGCTGTGTATAGTTGGGGATACGGAACAGGGAGGCTCACCAACTCTCATGCTGGAGTTCAGCTATGCCTCAAACGCAGCCGCTTCGCAGCTGATAACGTGGTACAGATTTCGTCCCCGCCCAGCGAGTTGCAAGGTCGTGGTGGGGCACTGCGGGTCAAGCGACGTGACTCCGACTTTGCATTCATCGTGTGCTACTTCCATCCCAACTCCAATCTGCCGTATTCGAAACGCGTCAACACTGCACTTTGGAAATGGGTTGATAGTGTTGTCAGTGCTCTGCCGGCACGATGTGTGCCCTGCTTGCTTGGCGACTTCAACGCGCGTGTTGGTAAGGAACATGTGGCAAACAACATATGGACGACCACGCAAGATGAGTCCATCGGCCCGTGCAATGCAGACAACGAGAATTGGAACGGAGAACAGTTCCGCCAGTTCTTGCAGAGGCATTACCTCGCAGCTACCAACACTTATCACAATGTTGGACCAACCTATTTCGGAATCGTTGCAGATTATACGTCCCGCGTGGATTTTATATGCATTCCATCCAGCATGTTATCTCAAGTCCAGCATTGCTCTGTGTGGCATCACACAGGCGACGATCTGCAGCTGGTGGCGGCTCCAGGCCGCCGAGATCACAGACCTCTACAGATCAAGCTCGACCATTCGTTGGGGCTGCAGCCGACACTCACCATGCAGCAACAGTCCCCGACACGCTGGGATATGGACAGACTCATGCGAGGCGTTCTTCGAGGACACTGTCGAGAGCAACTGGTGGCAGAGGTTGAGTCCCGGTGCAAAGACCTCTTGGAGAGTTCCCAATGGCAGCATGCCCAGTCGGCAAGCACGCCAGATGATGCCTGGACCATGCTACGTGATGTGGTGTTGTCCGTTGGCAGAGAGTTATATCAGTCTCGCCCAGTCAAACTCCAAGAGCGGAAAGTTGACACAGCAGCCGCTCTGGAGCACCAGCATGAATGCAAACTACAAATCCAACGGCTTCCTCGCCCGCGTCGTTTCTGGAGCCAAGGAGCTGACCGAGATACTGTGTCATTACAAGCGCTATCAGATTTGCTGTGCAGATGGCATGCTTTGGCGCGGTATCACAAGGCTCAGCGGCTCGCTAAACGACTCACAACAAGAGATAAGAGAAGACGTGCCTGTGAACATGTGCACCAGCTTCACGAAGGTTGGCAGAGTGCCAACTTCCAGTCCATGTGGCGAGCTGCCCGAGCGCTTTCAGGCAGGCGTGTGGGTCCCAAACAACGCAGGTTCGATAGGCCGAAGAGTTGCAGGCCCAGTATGCAGCAATGGCGGCAGCACATGGCACAAGTGGGGCGTGATGGAGGCTGCAAGGCCGTTGCTACAAACTGGACAGCGCACGTCCAACAGTTTGCTCATGGAGCTACTGGCTGGCAACAAAAATGCCGAGCTGATCCGGTATGGCGTAGTCAAATGCAGCAGTTGGCAGCTGAGGACTTGCGTGCTGTGGCTACCCAAGTTTGGCATGCAAAAACACGCAAGGCTGTACCTTGTTGGACTATTCCCAATGAAGTGTGGCGCATGCTGCTATATCCCAACTACAACCTGGCAAGAGCTCGACATGGTCTTGGGCACAAGTCCGCGTGTTTGCAAACTCCGCATCTGCAAAACGCGCTACAGCAGCTCTTCGTGCACATACGATGCTCAGAATCAGCGCCCTTGGAGTGGCATTGCTCGCAGGGCACGCAGCTTGACAAGCGCAATGGCAAGCCCTTATGTCAGGGCATCCGAGTCATCAACGTGCTGGACCCGATGGGCAAACATTTCTACCGCACACTGTGGCGCAGAGGCACGTCGCAAGCTGCTCGAGATTACGCGTGCGGCTATGTTAGACACAAAAGCCGCGAAGAGGCTATTTTGCAGCAAATTTGCTTGGGGCACCGGCTGCGCGCTGCCGGTGTTGGACATGCTACCCTTTACAAAGACGTGGCAAATGCCTTTTATTCCCCTTTGCATGACCAGCTGGACCTGGCGGTGGCTAAGACGATGCGGCCACAAGATCAAGTTTTGCTCAAGCAACGGCACAAGGCTGCCTGTATACACTTGCAGGCCGCTGACGGGCCCATATTGCTTTCAGTTGGCAGTGGTGCTCTCCAAGGCGACAGCATTGCGTCAGATTTATTCATGGAGCAGTATCATCCCCTGGTTGACGAATGGTTGCAAAGAGCAGCGCAAGCTTCCACCTATCACCAAATGTGCGCATATGATCCGGTCAATTGCAAATATGTCAACACTGCGTTATCCGTCTTCGCGGATGACCTCGCCATTAAGGTCATCTGCGACGAGGCTGCGGATTTGCAAGCGCAAGCATCTTTCCTGGATGACGAATTGGACGAAGTGCTCGCAAGTGGTGGTATGGCGCAAAACCGCGACAAGCAAGAAATCGTGTCGCATTTTGCTGGCAGAGGATCTCACAAGCAGATGCGAGAAATCTACTGCGGCAAGACTCCACTCGAGGGGAAAGCAGTGCCGCAGGCCAAATACTTGGGAGAGATCTGCACGCACAATGGCTCCACTACTGCTGCTCGCAAGCACCGCCTGGACAAAGCTCAGGCAGCCTGGGCAAGTATGGGTTCATTTTGGACGCGGACAGGCTGTAGCAAACGGTCCGTCAACATGGTCTTCCGAGCATTGGTCTTCGAGACTGCTGTGGCTGGTTTGGCGCCCTTCGTCCTCAGTCAATCCGACTACAAGGCCCTCGATGCTTTTGTCGCGGCCAAAGGGCGCATCCTCATGCGAGGAAGCGCGTGCAAGCGCGAAGAACAGCCGGACGGTACTGTCAAGTATGCAGCTGTCCCCAACCAACAAGTCTGGCGGTATCTTGGGCTTGCAGGAGTCTACGTGGAACTGCGTATCAAACGCCTGCAATTCTGGCAACGTCTGTTACGACAACCAGAACTTCACTCCAATGTTTTCGCTGCTATGTTCGGGTTCTTCCCGTTTGAAACAACCCCCGCGCTGCAAGAGGATGGCTCCTTGTCTTCTGCAGCGCATCCGTGGCTCAAACAGTTGGTTGATGATATCGAAGCTCTGCAAGACATCGCCGACCTGGAGCATATCACCAACGCAGTGGACAGGAAGCCGTTACGCCTATTCAGCCATGACGTTAGACTGGATTTTCTTATGGTTGACATGTCCATTCTCCGGCGCAAGTTTCTCTGTGTGGAAATCCCCCCACCAGGATACCAGAGCCCCTCAGTGCAGGGAGAACAGGCTCCCGAAGACTTGCCCGACATTCCAGATGACGAGCAGCATGTGTGCGAGCACACACTTTCAGATGGTTCTCTGTGCGGTAGAGCTTTCAAGTCGAGTAAAGCCTTGGCAATACACTGCACCAAGCTACATGAGCATTCACCGATGGAAGCTTTGCTTGTGGTCACAAATCAATGCTTGTTCTGCAGGGAGGTTTTTGCAAATGTTTTTTCGACGCGGAGACATGTGGCGAATTCCCTCCTACAGCAGCATTGCAGTGGTCGGTCTAGTGTTGTCAACAGGGCACCAGATATTCCGGACAATCTTGACTGCAGCATGTGTGACGCACAGTTTGAGACTCTTGAGGCCTTGCACGATCATTTGGGGCAGCATTTGGGCGCACAGCTATAGTGAGAGCGTAGTCGAGAGTTCCTTAAACGTCATGGATAAGTGGGCGGCAAATGCTGGAACTCCCAACGGGCCGGCGCTGAAGCGCAGGCAAGTTGGAGGTGAGAAAGACGAGCTTGTCCTGAAGGCGGTTCAGCTCCTCATGAAGTCCAACTTGAAGCTGTCTGCAGACGTACGGGCCTTGCAGTCGGCAACTTTCCGGACTTGCCTCATCCCATCTACGGCCTCTTTCGTGACCAAGGCGAAGGAAGCCAGTCAGAAGTACAATGACCTCGTTCAGGCCGCAGGGAAGCACCACGACCTTGGCCCTCCACATATCCATGTGTGGGCAGCGCTGACAGTTGAAGCAGCCGTGCATCTCAGCGGAGAGATGTTGCAGCGTGTCGAAGCCCATGCTGCTGAAGCCGACTCTCCCAACAAGTTGCTGACGGATGTGCTGTACTGTCGAGTAGCTCCTGCGTACGGTGGCAAGCATGTGAAGATCTACCTGACCACTACTGACAAGCTGAGACCAGTAGCTGACGCCTTTTTCCACGCGTTCAAAACGCAAGGAGGGGAAGAAAAGTTCGGCTTAGCTCCCAAGGGCGGCCTTGAGCGTGAGCTCCAGGCGCTGTTGGAGGAAATCCAAAGCAAGTAAGTTGGCCGAATCCGTAGCTAATGCCACGATCGTGGGTGAAGGCGCCCACATCCGGCAATTAGTGAGGGGGTACTCGCAGGTCCGTGGGTGGTGCCTCGGGGGTGTGTTCTTTTCTGTGTTCTGTTCTTTCACCTCGGCTATCCCCATGCGATCTGCATTGGGTCAGTGCCTCCACTCCAATCGGGGAGGACAGCAGGCGACTGACTCTTATCATGTTCCCAGAGCAGAGTGCTCAGCTAGGCAGACTTTGACTCGTCCGCCATTCAGCTGCGTGAGTGAGTGAGAGGAGATTGTGGGAGGGTGCTTGAGGTTCCGGCAAAGCAACTGTCATTGGTTTAGGGATGTTGCAAACGCTTATGTGCATAGGTCAAGTTGATACTTATGAAAAAGAAACTTGTTCATGTGTGCATAAATGTGTGTATATATATATATGTATATACATACAGTGCTTTTGGCTTTACACCTGTGCTTTAACCATGTTAAAGTAAGAGGGCTACTCGAGGTGCAAAACCCGAACCAGATTCAATAATTGAGCAATGTGGGCTCAACCCTCAACCCTAAACCCTCAACCCTAAACCCTGGCTTGCAGGGTAAACCCGAAACACTGAGCGCTGGGGCTGTGTCTTCAGCTCCTTGGTATTGCCCTGGGAGCCTGGTTGCAAGTGTCGGAGGTTTAGGGCTTCAGGCTTGACGGGGCTAAAAGGGTTTGCAGCTCATAGGGTGTATTATGTTTATATTATGCTTTTCTGGTTTGCAGGGTTTAGGGCTCTGATGAACCCCAAACCACAAACATCTTGAACCCCAAAACCCCAAAACCCCAAAGCCCCACAAGTCGTGATGCCCCTGAACCCTAAACCCCCTAACCCCCAAACTACTGCTGATCAGTGGGGACTGACGGAAGAGTAAGAATAGAACTGTTGCAATACTATAATTCATACGCTTGCGCCAGAGCACATAATACTAGGTGACCCACCAGCCCTATCCCTAACCCCAAGACCCTACACATCGAAAACCTTAAACCCCTAAACCCTAAACCCTACAACAAAGTCCCAAAGCCCTAAACCAACCCCAACAAAGCCCTTGCCTGAGTTCTGCGAGGCGCGGTCGCCACCACGGGGCATCTCGGCCTAGTATTGGTGTTCAGGCTTTGAGGTTTAGGGTTCGGTGCCTAGGGTTTAGGGACTAGGGTTTGGGGTGTAGGGGTTTAGGGGTTTAGGGTTTGGGGTTTCGGGTTTGGGGTTTAGGGTTGGGGTTTGGGCTTGGGGTTCACCATGAAAAAAGAGCCTGAGGCCGCGAGACCTGAAAAGGCCCCGTGAGGCCTCTGAGGAGGGACTGGTCCCGGGAAGCCCCCCAAAAGGGCTTCGTCCCCCCCCCACCCCGCACAAAACAAAAAGAAGTGTACCTCGGTTCCAAAGCAAAGGCTTTCGGTCAAGACTTTTTTGGGGACCCAAACCCTGCACAACTTCTATCCACCCTCAACTCTCAACCCTCAACCCTAAACCCTGAACCCGCTTCACAGGCCTCGAACTTGATGTTGGGCTCCTGCGCCGTCACCGCCTCCAGCGTCGCCCCCTTGGCGTTGAAGACGCTTACACCCTAAATGACCTTAAGTTCACCCAAAACCCTAAATCCAAAACCTTTTCGAACCCCCCTCCAACATTTACCCAAAACCCTATGAGCCCTCGACTGAGCAACTCAATCGCGCTAAGAACAAACGTGCGGAAACCCCCAATGTCCCGCAATCGCCAAACCTTTAAACCCTTAATTTTGCCTTCTCGGGTGGGAGGGTTAAGAGTTAAGGGTTTAGGGTAGAGGGCTTAGGGTTTAGGGTTTGGGGGTATACTATGGTAGGATGCGGCATAACCACAAAGGTTGAAGGTCACCTACCCAGTCCCTAAGGGGCTCGCTAGGTAGTATTTAAGCTCGTATGCAAACTAAGCCCTCAAAAGCCCAACCCCCCGTACACTTTCAGCGTTTCATTCGGCTCATTGCTCTAAATCATGTACACCAAGCTCCTACTGGGTTGAGACCCTAAACCCTAAACCCTAAACCCTAAACCCTAAACCCTAAACCCTAAACCCTAAACCCTAAACCCTAAACCCTAAACCCTAAACCCTAAACCCTAACCCCCCCCCCCCCCCCGTTTTGGGCGCGGGCCAGCTTCACCCTCATGGGGTCGCCCCGGCGCTCCTTCCGGAGAATCTCGCAGATCTCCTTGAAGTCCTGGGAGGGGGTTAGGGTTTAGGGTTTAGGGTTTAGGGTTTTAAGCAGGCTGCTCTGATGTGCTTGGTGTAATCCTTTCCGAGAGCCCGTGTTTGAGACCAGACGTTTCAGATGGCAAGGCCATAATAAGAAGCTGAAACCCAAAAAACCTTGAAATATTTCCCAAAACAAGCCGGGAACATCCCGAACTCCACCCTGCCCCTCCCCCGCACATGCCCGTGGCCAATGCAGATTGGCACCCCTAAAACCCTAAACCCTACACCCGTCCTTCAGGTAGGCCAGGATGACTTTAAGTTGTCTGGCGGCGTTGTCCTTCGATCGGGGCGCCCGCGCTCTTGCTCCCGAAAGGGCCCCGTCGCCCATGCAAAACGAAAAGTTTAGCGCGCAACTGGGGCTGTTTATGATGGGGTGTATAACGAGCCCCAGAATCAGGAACTCAAGGTACGGTAGGGCTTAGGTTCTAAGGTCCAGGCTTAGCCTGTAACGATCTCCTACAGCTAGGGTTTCATGGCTTTAGGGGCTTTCGGGTGTTAGAAGGACTTCGGCTTCTGTTTGGGGTTTTTGGGGTTTCGGAGTTTAGAGTCTTCGAGGTGTCCGGAAAAAAGAACCCTAAACCCTAAACCCTAAACCCTAAACCCTAAACCCTAAACCCTAAACCCTAAACCCTAAAAAACCGTTCTCCTTCTTCTTTCGGAAGGAGTCTTCGCCCTGATCTTGACCATCCTCGCCTGCGAGGCTTTCTTTGGGGACTCTTAACTTAGCTTTGGAATAGACCCTGGAAAAAAAGTATATACTTTTTAGGTAATAAGTAGCAATAATAGGAACCCAGAACAAAAAAGTATTAAAGTATAGTACTCCAAAGCCCAGTTAAGGGGTGGAAACTTTAAAACGAGCACGGTTTCTGGGCTTGTGGTTGCGAGCTTTTCGGAGTGGAGGATGTAGGGATTCAGGACTTGGGACCGAGTCTCCATCCGGAAGTAAAGTTCGAGGGGGTCTTGGACCAACAGATACAGGGTCAGGGCGCCGGGCGCAGGGTCAAACTCCTACAAGTAATAAGAGCCAAAGCCCGCCAAAGCCCCAAAAAACCCAATGGCCCTTCCAACCAATCCCCCCCCCCCCCCCCCCCCTCAACCCAATTCCGAACCCCAAGGCCACCGGTGTTTGGGCTGCGCGGCTTTCGGCGTTCTAGGCGTTTTGGGGGCTTTGCTGCTGCTAGGGGCCTCGGGGCTCGACTCAGAAGAAACCTTCGCTGGCCTTCCTGCTTGCTCTCATCGTCGACAGGCGTCTGGGCATGCTGGATGTTTTTCCTGGCAGGCGAGGGTGTATGGTTGAGGGCCTTGTTAGGGCCCCAGGATTCAGACCCTGAAAACCCTAAACCCCTGACACGTGAACAAGCCGCATGCCCCAGCGTGCCATCCTGTTTCCGGCAATTCGAGGGAACATTCGGGAAAGCCTATGCCGTAAACAACCCAAATTGCCCAGAGCCCTCAGCCCTGAACCCAAACGTAAAGCAACCCAAGCCTTTACTAAAGCCCCTAAACCCCAAACCCCAAACCCTAAACCCTAAACCCCAAACCCTAAACCGCCTCTTTGTGGTGCAGCGCAGGAACAGGTTTTCAACCTCGTGCGCTCCGCAGTTTGGTAGGCTTCGGAGTATGGGTTTAGTTTATAGGGCTCTTGGGGGGCCTCGATTGTGCTCTGGGGTTACCCTTGCTTTTAGGGTTTAGGGCTTTGGGGTTTTGCTCCGGTGTTCTGTTGGTTGAGGGCATGGGTTGCCGTTGCTTTTAGGGTTTAGGGTTTGGGGTTTGCTCCGGTGTTCTGTTGGTTGAGGGCATGACGCCCTGGGGTTTTTCGTTCTACGGCTTGAAACTTTACAAAGTCGTGCCGGGGGGGGGGGGGTGTGCTACGGGGTCAGATGGTTTACCTTTGTTGCACTGCCTACAAACAATAGCCCAAATTCCACGTTTCATTAACCAGGGATAACCAGAGTTTGCGAGGCCCCTTTGCACCGCTGAGCCCTTGCCGAAGCTGGCGGCTCAGTGTTCTGTTCTTGGTCCTATTCTTGGGGCCTGCTGTCCTCCAAGAAGTCATGATGCACCCGTAGCGGGTCTATGAGGTTCACGGTCCAGATAATCCATATCATATAGCCTTAAATTCGGGGTTTTTAGCAGCATTGGGTAGATGATCCCTAAGATAAGGGTCCATTTAGATACGCAGGGCTTGGCCTCGGAGCCGCAGGGCACGCTGATGGTCTGCCGGTACGGGGGGAGGGGCTGCGCTGTGAAATCGCATCCTTCGCATCGGCCCTGCCTTTTCAGCAAGATCTCCTCACTTCCCGGGATGTTTAGGGCGAAAGTCGTCCTAAATGTGAAGCACCGAAAGCCCACCCGGCCTACCGGTCCAACAGCATTTTGAACTCGAGACAAACGGCCCGACTCTTCGAAGTCGAACGTTTTGACCCTTACATCCTATCACCCTGAGTCCCTCGACCCCATATTCTGCCAATTCTCTTGAAGCCAAACCTCAAAGCCCCGCACTCCGCCCGCACCCCCACCCCCAAGTCCTAAGTCCTAAAGCGCGAAGCCGTAAACCCCAAATATCGAACTCTAAACCAACGAAAACAGCTGAACCCCACAACACTAACCCTCGCCCTAAACCCCAAGACACCAACCCTAAAACCCCCCCAAACCCCGACGTGCAGGCGCCCGGCTGACATCAGAATCTGCCCGAAGAAGAGGGAGTCCCTGAGGCCGGGCATGGATCGTGGTCCCAAGCACCCAAACCCTAAAGTTTAGGGTTTAGGGTTTAGGGTTTATAGGGTTTAGGACTTCAGGGTTTGGGGGGGGGGGGGTTGAGGGGTCCAGGGCTTTGCATGATCTTGAGGGTTCAGAACCCAGGTGTGGGGCAGCTCATCTGAGGGCTTTAGAGTCTACGGTTTCGGCGATGTAGGGTTGCTATATATGTCTAGGGGTCGATATGGCTCCTGCTGAATCCAAGCAGGCTGTTGGGACTCCAGTGCTCATCCAAAGCTTTCTAAACATGGCTTTAGAGCCATTATCAAACCCGAAACCTGCCAAGCTCAAGCCCCGCCTCTCTACACCCCTCAACCGAAACCGAAATGACTCATTAGCCTGGCGCCCAAGCCCGCATCCGAAACCCAAACCCTCAACCCCAGATCCTTATACCTCAACCCGAAAGCCTGCATCCACGCCCTACACCCCCCCCCCCCCCCCCCAAAAAAAAAGAGATGCGAACCGGCCTAGAGTCCTCCTGCGTCACCTCGTCAAATTCGTGCTGGAGTTGTTGCCGCTTCTGCGCGCGTGGCGGGCTTAGGGATTTTCAGGGCTACAGGGCTTAGGCGAGAATAAGGAGGCCCCACAATAGACAACACCGTCTACATCTCCAAATTCATGGTAGCTTCAGTTCCTTAACAGCTGCCTTGGACCAGCAACGCAACGCCCTAACCATCTTCACGCCGCAGGGTTCAGGGTTCAGAGCAAAGGACAGAGCGCTGTGCCCTAAACCCTAAACCCTAAACCCTACACCCTACACCCTCCACCCTATACCCTACACCCTAAACCCTGAACCCAAATCCCGGAGTCCGCGGTGCCTTCTGGCACTCGTCCAACTCGATTTGGAGGATGGCAACCTGGAGGCAACCGTAAGACTCACAGCCCGAGCCTCCTGAGATCCCTAAACCCTGAGCCCTAAACCCTAAACCCTAAACCCTAAACCCTAAACCCTAAACCCTAAACCCTAAATCCCCAAAAGCCAAGATCCGCAAATCCCTAAGTCCGAAGTCTAGTATCTGGGATTCTCAATTCGAAGGGCCCTTGTCCCGAGAGCATTACGCAGCAGTCTCCAGCAACTGAAGCTTCAGGGTTCGGGTGTGGCACAGGGCCTAACCACTGAACTCTTATCCCCCCTAGCCTTAAACAGACCTGTGTACTCATGACAGAAGCCCGCCGGCCTTGTTTCGCAGCTCCATCATCTCCATCTCTTGCTCTTTCCTCAGTCAACACGCGGAGCGCAAACCCTCGAACTCAATGAAACCTCACACCTCACAGCTCTCTAGCCTGGCAGGAGTACCCCAGAAACCTTTGGGCTTTCACAGTCAGTGGGGACAGAAGCGGAAGCATGGAAATAGAGAAAAACACCCTGAGCCCTTGATCTGAAATTCTCAGCCCTCCCTCAACCCAAAAACCCTCAACTATAAGCCTTGAACCCTAGACACCCCCAAAAAAACTGGGCGGAAGCCGGAGTCTTGTCTCAGGCTCGGGCTTGTAGATTTGGAACTGATTTCTCAGCTCCTGCAGGCATTGAGTGTCTTCAAAGGGCACAAAACAAACATCCTGAAACCCTAAAAGACCCTGCAATCCAATGACACCCTAAAGCCTGATGAAACCTTGTTCCCTACAGACCCCTTGAATAGCAAACTGTGCTTCTGTCAACAAAAAAAAACACCTACAGATCCCTAACCCCTAGACCCTAAACCCTAACCCCTAGACCCTGAACCCTACACTTCCCCAAAGCACCTCAACTGCACTGGTCTCCTCTATTCGCGTCTCCGAGTCCGCTTGGAGCTCTGAGAGGTCGATGTTGGCTCCCTGGCAATAGGGCTTCCAGGGCTTCAAGTTCTCACTCTTATGGCCCCTTGTCATCATAACCCTGACAAGATTAAATTAAACGTAAACAACCAGTTAACTAGTTCACTAGATCCAGATATGGGAACCAAAAGGCTGAGACCCTGAACCCATCTAGGTTGACTAGGTTGGCTCCTTTTTTGAACCCTCGGATGTTTTTGCCTCAATATGACCCTCTTCAACAGCCAGACGCCCCTCTCCTGCCCCACAATCGGTTTTGGGCGGCTTTATGATTTGGGGTGTAGGGTTTGGGGTTTTAGGGTTTGGGGGTTTTGCTTAGGAGGTTCTAGGGTTTTGGGGTTCAGGGTTTGGTTGGGCTGTGCTGTAAATCCTGAAGTCCAAGCATCTCTAGCCCCAAACCCTAAACCCTAAACCCTAAACCTCAAACCCTAAACCCTAAACCCTAAACCCTAACACAGGCGTCTGCCTCGAGGGTGGAGTGCCGCTCGACGATCTCCTCGAGACTTTGAGGATTCAGCGGCGCCAGGGTCCAAGAAAATCTCTCAGGGTTTATGGTTTAGGGTTTAGGGTTTGGGGTTTAGGGTTTAGGTTTAGGGGTTTGGGGTGCAGGGTTTAGGGTTCCCTAGGGTAGGGTTTAAGAGTTTAGGGGTTTAGGGATTTATGGTTTAGGGGCTTATGGTTTAGGGTTTAGGATTTAGGTCATTAGGGCCCTGAAGGCCCTATAACCTTTCGGGCTCTAAAGAGGGACACCCGGGTGTGATACCTGCAGTACTTGCCTCCTTCCCTCTGAACCAGCGAGGTCAGGGCGCTTAAGGTGACCCGAAACCCTAGACCGGAAACTCTAAACCCTTGCCGCGCTTTAGGGATTTTAGGGTTTCCAAGACTTTTTGACAGCCGGTTTGAGAGTTTTTAGGCCCGGCTCTGGGGTTCGGACAGAAGCTTCGAAGTTCAAGGGATCCGGGTTTAGGGGTTTAGGCTTCGGGTTTTAGGGCGCTCTATTCTAGGGTGCACCTCTCAGATCAGTTCTGGGTCGAGGGTTCAAGGCCCGAGGCTCCTGGTCCCAAGCCCTTGAAGAGACAAGCCAGAAAGCCCTGAACAAGGCTCTAGGTCCTGGGTTGCCCGAAAGATCCCAAAAACAAGCCTGGGTGCTGAAGGTTTAGCCCTAAGCCCTAAACCCTAAACCCTGAACCCCAAGCCCCAAGCCCTAAACCCTAAACCCTGAACCCTGAACCCTAAACCCTCAACCCTAAACCCTAAACCTAAACCCTAAACCCTAAACCCCAAACCCCAAACCCGAAACCCGAAACCCGAAACCCGAAACCCGAAACCCGAAACCCTAAACCCTAAACCCTAAACCCTAAACCCTAAACCCTAAACCCTAAACCCTAAACCCTAAACCCTAAACCCTAAACCCTAAACCCTAAGCTGGGCTCCGAAATCTCGGCGTAGTCGTCGCAGGTTTCCTTCACCAACTCCAAGAACTCCTCTCTTGGGCCGAAGATGTTGGGGTTTTTCGCTCTTCTGCACATGTGCGATCAGGGTTTAGGGTTTTGGGTTTTAGGGTTTAGGGTTGTCTTATCATGCTGTCTGGCCGTTTCCGGTTGGGCTGTCACTCTACCTGTGGCTCTACACCTCCGTTTCTTGGGGGTGCGGCAGCTGGCAAGGCAACATGGGAGGGGTGGTGCTGGATTAGGGCTTCTCCTCGGCTCCTAGGCAGCTGTTTATGATGGAAACTGTTCGCTCTAGAACAACCCCGCTGATCTGCAGGCCCGTCTAACTTCCAACTGAGGCTGCTTTTGTTAAAATCTCAGCGTGAGAACATTAACGGCTGCAGTCGCCACTCTGGGCAATAGAGCAGGTGAGCAAACGACACCTCAAAGCTACCGGCGAAATGACTGGAATCACTCGCAGAGGCTGCGCTTTAAGCGACGGCCACGCACGCAGTGGCTGATGCGTGCAACAATTCCACAGGAATCGGTTCGCACGGTAGCTATGCAACACTATGCGTCTGCTTTGCAGTGCATGCTTGCAACTTTGTGCACAAGCAGCAGCATCTCTCACATACTTGCCATAGACTACGTGAACAGTACCTTCACAATGACCTTTTTGAAATGACATGCGGAGGTGGGGATTGTCTGAATTGACTCTGCATTTGATGCAGCAGTCTTGCAAAGAGAGCAAGATTCAATTGCCCAGGCCGCTATCTGAACCCCGTGCAAAAAAGACAGTCTGTTGCCTACACAATGCGTGTTGCATTGTCGGTTGCACATGTCTGACAACACAACTCCTTCTGAAATGGTGCCCGAAGCGCAAACGTCAGTCGAGGCAGCATCCGGTCCTGACGCAGACGCACCTATGACCCCACAGTTGACGTACCTACCCGGAGCCGTAAACCCCAAACCCCAAACCCTAAACCCTAAACCCTATACACTCTAAACCCTAAGCCCTGCCACCGCCCCTCCCACCCCCAAGCCCCCCCCCACACCCAGTGACGTCCCTGCTTACGTCCGTCCCTTTTGGGGTCTACTAGGCTTTCGGATTTCCAGGCGGCTTCTAGCTCTTTTTAGGGTTCCAGGGTCTTCAATCAAGCTAGGGATCGGTAAGGTTTTTTAATAGGGCTCAGGGCTTTTAAGGGTTTCGGATTCAGGATTTAGGGTTTTTTGGGGGTAAAGGCAAAATAGGCCATCTATTGAAGACTGACCATGTAGCATCACTGAAGCGCGGCTCATGAAGCAAGCCCACTAAACCCTAAAACCCTAAACCCTAAACCCTAAACCCTAAACCCCTGGGCCTCTGGTTCTCATGTCAGGAGAGGCCGCTGCCGCTGATGCTGTGCTTGCCTTGGTGCGTTGCGGCCCCGAGGCTCCCAAGCTGTGCGCACAAGGCATGATCTGCATGGGCCTATAGGGCTTACAGTGTTTATAGGGCTCGGGGTTTAGGGTTTAGGGTTTAGGGTTTAGGGCTAGGGGTTTAGGGTTTAGAGGGTTATAGGGTTATGGCATTGTAGAATTACAAAGTTCGTTTACCCACCGAACCTCAAACCCCAAACGTAGCGGGGTTGAAAGGGTTATAGGGTTCAGGGCCTCCCCTAAAACCTGCCCTGCGCCAAGTGACAACTCTGTTGGCCAAGCATCTGGGAGTCCTGGTGGCTTTCGAGGGGCGGTTCATCGGGCTCAGGGGTTACAGTAGGGTTTAGGGTTTAGGGTTTAGGGTTTAGGGTTTAGGGTTTAGGGTTTAGGGTTTAGGGTTTAGTACTCGAGCCCTTATATACCTCGTGCATGTCCTATGCAACCCAAGGGCCCGCACTTCAGAACCCTCTCAGAGAGGTAAGGGACCATACTCAGGGGCCATGAAACTCCCCTTTGAGTGGTTAAGGGTTTGGGACAAGACTTCAGAAACCCTAAACCCTAAACCCTAAACCCTAAACCCTAAACCCTCAACCCTCAACCCTAAACCCAGGGTTCATAGGGAACTCCATGCCATGAGCTGTGCAATCAAAGGTTTCGGGTTTAGGCTAAGCCCTTAAACCTCACAAGCCTATAACCCTACACCCTGAACCCTAAACCCTAAACCATAAAGCTTAGTCGAAGAGTTGGGATGGCAGCCTAGCTTATTGGGGGCTACCGGGGGAGGGTTTAGAAAGTAAAACCGCCGAAGTGTACTCATTCAGGGTGGAAAGTTGGTGAATCTTGTACAAAATCCCCTGTGGCTTAACTTAAGGGCGGGGGGGGAGGCATATCTGGTCTCGGGCTCCGGGCGCTACCCCCCCCCCCCCCCATGGTATCCCCCCTTCCATGGTACCAAACCCCCCCTCCCCAAACCAACCTCTCCCCTAAACCTGAAACCAACCTTAAACCTCACACCCTGAACCTCAACCGTAAACCTTCAACCCTAAACGCCAAGGGGCTAAACCTGAAACTCTGAAACTCATGTAAACCCCAAACCTTAAACCTCAAACCCTAAACCCCAACCACACCCACACTACGGGGGCGGGGAGGGGGGGGGGGGGCAGGGTTGCATGGGCGGCCGGTCTCTTGAACCCCAAATCCCAACCCCCAACCCCCCCAATCACACCACCGGCCTAAGCCTTAGACCCCCAAACCCTAAACCTTAAACACTAAACCCTAACCCCCAACCACACCCACACCACCCCTAAACTTTATTTAAACCTTAAACCTTAAACTTTAAACCCTAAACCCTAACCCCCCCAACCACACCCACACCACGGGGGGGGGGGGGGGGGTAGGGATCCAAGCGAGGATGGGGTGGCCGGGATACCATGGGGGGGGGGGGGGGATTGGCAGCCCGAGACCGTATCTGGTACACGGTTCTTCTTTAATCTGGTACACGGTTCTTCTTTAAATCGTTCCGAAACCCGATAAGCCCCACACCCAAAGTCCAAAACCCTCGATTCGGTCCCTAGATGCCAAACCCTAAACCCTAAGCCCTAAGCCCTAAACCCTCAGCCCTAAACCCTAAACCCTAAGCCCTAAGCTCCCAGTCCTGAGGAGCTTCCAGCCTTTGGATGAGCTCCTCAAGGTAGAAGAAGATCTGTTCGAAGCCTGCCCGCGGGGCGGGTACGAGTTGTAAGCTTGGGCCGGTTCAGGGTTTAGGGTTTAGGGGTTTGGGGTTTAGGGTTAGGGGTTTAGGGTTTAGGGTTGATAAGGGCAAGCAGCCGACACCATTCAGCCCAACCCCTACAGTCCCCAAACCCTGAACACTCGGGGTTTAAAACCCTAAACCCTAAACCCTAAACTCTGCAACCCTAGAGTTGAGAGCTCGGGGGTCTGGGAGAAGAGTTTGTGGGATACCCAAGCCCCACATCCCTACACCACCGAGCCTCCCAGACAGAAAAGAACAAGCCTTCACAACATAACTCTTGATGACAAAAAACACCCTAAACCATGAACCCCGAGAGCCCTAAACCCCACAAGCCCGCCTCTGAGCCACGTAAATGAACCAGAGCTCAGGGTTTAGGGTTTACATTCTACATCAGATATTCAGTCAGCACTCTTTTCAATTAGAGAATTATCTTCCTGATGGCGTTTACGAATCTTCATTCTTACTGGTGTATCATGTGTCATTGTTTTGTATTTCTCCATCCTCGACACAATTTGTACGTCCATTTCCATCTTGAATTATATGACTTCATGGAGGACATAACAGGTATAATTTACAGCCCAACATTAAAGAGGTTCTTTGTCTTCATTGTCGATTCTCATTTGCTCTTTGTACTTTTCTTCTTTGTCTTCTTTTTCCTCTGGTTCATCACTCGCTGAGCAAGGTTATAGCCTTCCTGCGCGTAGCACGCTCCATTCTCACCTGGACTTGTGGATGTCGAGGACTATGACCCTAAACCCTAAACCCTAAACCCTAAACCCTAAACCCTAAACCCTAAACCCTAAACCTATGAAGCCTGATTTTTTGCCCCCAAAAAATCACTCACTGCCTCCGCGGCACATGTTTCAGTATGTGGGCGTAGCAGGGACGCACCCTTGAGGAGCATAACTGCTGGTCGCACTTCACTTCACCTCACCTCACCTCACATGGTTCATCCACATTCTCTATCTTCTAATATTCTTTTCAGGAATTCCATCAAGTAAGAATGAAATAGCATTTGTTTCGGTATTCGAGTTCCGCATCAAGCCCCCAAATTCTTAACCCCACCTTCCCCTGCAAGATCAGATCCCACCAACATAGGCTCAAACTGCACTGGATCAACTCGCACTTAAAACAAGAAGTGTTTGCTGAACAATTTGGTGCAGAGCAGCTCTGGAGGTGGGAGGCCAACGAAGCAGTTGATGCGCTGGTGCAACAGGAAGCCAATCAACTTCGAAACTACTCGTGGGAGACTAGCATGATGGAAAAAGATGCGGTGACGTGCCGAGTGAATGCCTTTTTTTGGCTGGAAGGGCGGCAGCCCTATTCGAATATGGCGAAGGAGATGGCCCGCAGATTGGCTTTGAAAAAGATACGGGCAAGCCTGCTGCCCAACCTAATGCCCCTAGGGGTTTATATAGTATAATTTCAAAGGGACCACAAGGGTATAATACTAGTAATTATTCCGACCCCTAAACCCTACTTTGGAGTAGACCCTGGGAAAGAAAGTATAAACTGTTTAGGTATAAGTAGCTATAACAGTACCCCAGAACCAAGCAAAGTCTTAAAGTATCATGCTCCAAAGCCCAGTCTATTCGACATCTGAAGCCCTACATTGCCCCCCACCACATCGCCGGGCCTCGCCGCGTGTCCTTGGTCATCAGAAGTAGGTCGACGGCCCGGGCGGCCCCCTGCAGTCGAAGGCAGCCGCTGATGAACTCCTGCTGAAGATGCAGGGCAGATCTTCCGGTTAGTCAGCCGTAACTAGATACCCTAAAAAGACGGTTCAGCGTTTAGTGTTCCCTGAAGCCCCTAAAACCCCCACCCAAAACCCTGAACCCCCTGAAGCCCCCAAAGGCCCTGAAACTTTGAAGCCCTAGAACCC